TCAGCTTATTGAAGAGATAATCCGCACTCTTATGTTTATTGTAACACTCTTCACGATAGCCAAGATTTGGAAGCACCCAAAGTGTCTATCAAGATATGAATGGTTAAACAAAATGTGATACATACCATGGAGTACTATTCAGTCATGAAAAAGTATGAGATCCAATCATTTGCAGCAGCATGGATAGAACTAGAGATCATTATGTTAAGTGAAATAACAACAGAAAGATAAACTCTGCCTGTTCTCACTCATTTGTGGAAGCTAAAATTAAAAGAGTTGAACTCATGGATATCAAGAGTACAAGGTGGTTACCAGGGGCTGGGAAGGGTAGTGGAGTGTCAGCTGGAAGTGGAGATGGTTAATGAGTATAAAAAATAGAAAGAATGAATAAGACCTAGTATTTTTTAGCACAAAAGGTGACTATAGTTAAAAATGATTTAATTTTACATTTAAAAATAACTAAAGAGTATAATTGGATTGTTTGTAACAAAAGATAAATGCTAGAGGTGTTACATATCCCATTTACCCTGATGTGATTATTACATATTACATGCCTGTATCAAAATATCTTATGTAGCCCATTAATATATACACCTACTATGTACCTACAAAAATTAAAAATTTATAAAGATTGGCAAAGATGTAAAAGCTTGGAACAGAAGTGTTCTGCAAGGTGTGGGGAAATATAGTGAATATATTGCTTGTGACATTGTAAACTTTGAGCTCCTCATTCAAAAGTGATTTCACAATAGCCTCCAAAATTTAAAATACACATACATTAAGCCTGTAATTTTATGTCTTGGGATTTATCTTTCAGTATACTCTCACATGGGAAACATGACATATGGACAAAATTTTTTTCTCAGCATTGTTTCCAATAGTGTATTAGAAACAATCCAAATGTTCACTTGGGCATTGTCAAATAAATAGGGGTATGTACACACCACATATGTGGATATACAAACATCTATTTTCTCATTCCTTTAGTTCTCTCATCCATATCACCTCCTATACTACAGCCTAATTTTTTATGCTTTTTATAGATTTCTCTTCTCATAGGCTAGAATGTAAGCTTTGTCTGTTTTCTTCAATGATAGATCCTGAGAGTCAAGAATATGTTGAATCAGTAAATACTGTGTGTGTGTGCATTTGTGTATGTGTATTTGTTTGTAATCCCTAAATCTTATCTGCAGGTTTTCTAGATTTAGGAATTACAAACAAGTACAAGTTTTCTGCAAGTTTTCTGTCCTGAATTTTTGTATACAACTGCTACTTGACATCTCCACCTCGATATAATTATCCTCCTCTTGGGTATTGAGAAGTCTCATATCAGCGTGTTCAAATTCTTAATCTTTCTCCAAATCTTTCTTTCTTGACAGCGTGCTTGATATCAGTAGATAGAAAATTCCATCTTTTTGCCTGCTCAGTTTGAAAATCCTATAGTAATCCTCCATTTCTCCCAAAACCAATTTTCAGGTAGTCAGGAAATGCTTTTTGCTCTATCATCAGATTATGTCTAGAATCCTAACACTTTTCACCACAGTAACTGTTACTGCCCTGGTCCACATTGCCATCATTTCTTGCATAAATTATTGCAATAGCCTCCTAACTCATCGTCCTGTTTCTGTACTTGCCTCTGTATAGCCTTTCCTCATGAAAACAATCAGAATGACTTTTTTAAAAACATTAATTCAAATCAAATATTTCTTTTGTGCTCAGAACTCTGTGCTAGTACCTATTTTACTCAAAGTAATAGCCAAAGACCCTACAATGGCTTGCAAAGGCCTTGATGATGTGGCCCGTGTTAATTTTCTGTAATCATTTCCTATTACTCCCTGTCTTCATCATTCAGATTCAGCTACCCTGGATGCTTTGATGCTTCTTGAATACACACGTACTCTCCCACATTAGAGGATTTTTTCTCTGCCTGTAGTACACTTTCCTTGGATATATATATATATGGCTAACTTCCGGGCCTCCTTCAGGGAGATCATGGCCAAATGTCACCTTTTCGATGAGAGAGTTACCTTGACCACTCATTACCCACCCCGCAGCACTCATGATCACCCTGACTTTGCCTTACCTTTTATTTTTTTATTACAGAGCACTCATCACCTCCTATAATATATATATGGCCTTGTTTTTATGCTTGATGTAGTTGTCTGTTCTCATAGGCTAAAATGTAAGCCTTGTCTGTTTTCTTCAGTGATAGATCCTGAGAGTCTAGAATATGCTGAATCAATCAATAAATTCAGCAATCTGCAAGAAAATTTAAAAATATAACTATTCATAACATTCATTATATATTTATATGTTATAGAAATATTTAATGTTATAATATATAAATTATATGATTATATAAATATATATCTCTGGAAGACTATAAAAGAAACTAGTAACAGTTGCCTTTGGGAGAAATAGTACCTGGGATGAGAAGGAAGGCACATTCTATACTGTGAGAATTTGCACCTTATCATGTCTTCAATTTAAAAAAGATTAATTTAAAAATACAAAGCATAGTTGAGCCTAATTTGGAAATCAGAATTCTTCATAAAATAGATCCTTAGCTTTTTGAGTTCCTTAGAAGGTTTTAATTTGTATTACCACTAGGTGGCACATGCCTACTGATAAGTTCCAAGACTCCCAGACACAGGTTTTAAAACAAACCTTTTCAGTTCCCCTGAGTTGTCAAAGTTTATTTTAGCTATATGACACTGATTTTTCTCAAAAAATGTTTAAAACTATTTTTCCATACTATTTCTATAGGGCAGCAGTCCCCAACCTTTTTGGTACCAGGGACTGGTTTCATGGAAGACAATTTTTCCATGGACTGGGGGAAGGGAGAGGGATGGTTTTGGGATGATTCAAGCACATTACATTTATTGTGCATCTTATTTCTAATATTATTACATTGTACTATATAATGAATAATTATATAACTCACCATATTGTAGAATCAGTGGGAGCCCTGAGCTTGTTTTCCGGCAACTAGAGGGTCCCATCTGGTGGTGATGGTAGACAGTGACAGATCATCAGGAATTAGATTCTCATAAGGAGCACACAACCTAGATCTCTTGCATGTGTAGTTCACAATAGGGTTTATGCTCCTATGAGAATCTAATGCCACAGCTGACCTGACGGGACGTGGAGCTCAGGCAGTAATGCTTGTTTGTGCCCCACTCACTTCTTGCTGTGCCGCCCAGTTCCTAACCGGCCACGGACAAGCAATGGTCTGATCCCTGCTGTAGGGAATATTATAGGAACTGTTTCTACTCTATTCCTATACACAGAATAGTATAGCAACTATTTAATGCTACAAGTTTTAAAGTGATTTTTCACCATAATTTCTAATTTAAGATTATAACATTTGACTTGCAGAAATGTCTTAAATCTGTGAAGGCTAGCTTAGACATCCTTAAAATAATTTAAAATTTCTAATATTTAGTGAATTATATCTGCCTATCTTTTCATCTGTTTCCTATGAAAAACCTTACTTCATGAATGAAATTCAGAGACTGTGTGTCCAAAAGTAGATTTTTGTTTGATCCTATTGTTTTACTGCTTTTATGTCAAGTTGATCAGTGCCCAGGGCCAAATGCAATTTAACTGCCTCTGTCTGAATACTTTACATAATATACCATGAGGTGTAGGCAGATGAGTACTGTGGAGGATGCAAAAATAACCTATTGTTTATTGCCTCCATCTTCATGGATCTTTCCTTTTATGGTTGGTGATGTCATGAACACAAATAACTGTAATAGAAATCATCAAGTAGTAAATCAGTAAATGAAAGTATTCTGTGTAGTGGGAGCACATAGTTGATATTAATTTGGGGAACTCTAAGAATATGGTGACATTGAGAATAGCTTTAAATATATAGTTTCATTCTCTGAATTACTTCAATATGGATTTTAAATAGATTTATACTTCTTTGTAAAGGGCGAATTATTTTACATATCTGCGAGAAAGATATAATCTTTATAGATAGGCATTAATTATAGATTAATAAAATAAATAGCCATATTCCTTTTGCTGGTAAATATTCAAAATGAAAATGATGGCATGAATTTTATAAATGTAACATTTGAAAACATTATAAAAATTATTTTTGGCAAGTTTTAAAATAACACTGAAAAGATTATTGGAGTAGGTCAATTTAATGTTTATTTTTGACCCAGATTTTTTAAATTTTGTTTTTCTTTTTAAAATATATTATTTGAAAACCGAATACATATTTAGAAAATGTGCTATATCCAAGTAAAATAACTTACTGAGTTCTTATTATGCCATAAAACTATATTATTTTATTTCATACTCATGAAACCTTATGATGCATGGTTATCATTCACATTTTTTAAACAAAGAAACTAAGGCGCAGGAATTTTAAGGAACTTGTATGCATATGTTAATATCTGCTGTAACACTAAAACTTGATGTGAATATTTTTTTTTTTTTTTTTTGAGACAGAGTCTTACTCTGTCACTCAGACTGGAGTGCAGTGGTGCGATGTTGGCTCACTACAACATCTGCCTCCCAGGTTCAACTGATTCTCCTTCCTCAGCCTCCCTCGTAACTGGGATTACAGGCATGAGCCACTACACACTGCCAAATTAATTTTCTTCTAATAAGAAACTTGCTTTTCAATTTGTACCACTTTAGTGTAACTGCTATGTCATTTAAAAGGAAAACAACATTATTCTTATTAAATGTATTAATATTAACTACTTTGTTACATTCAGGGACTTTTTGTAACTTTCTAAGTGTGAGATGAATAATATTATCACTATTATCTTAGTGAACCAAGCATCTGACCCTTTTGACTATTAATTTGCAAAATTTTCACAATTTTGCTGAATTCTAAAATAATAATTAGATACCAAAGTCTAAGAAATATACCATACAATGCTCCAAATCAGATTTAGTTCCAGCTTAATAGGTGGATTTTAAAACAAAGTTATATATTTAAAATGAATTTTACTCTTTTTTCTATATTTATATAGCCAGAAAAATGTAAGAAAAAAAAGAAATGGTATAAAAGTGCACTGCAAGAAGCATGTCTACTCTATGGATATTCTCATGAGCGAAGACTGGAAATGTGCTGCCTGTCAAAACAAAAAGGTATATAATTTTTTTTCTTTATCACTCCAAAATAAGGATTTATTCAAATGCACGTTTTCCAAAATATGTTTGCTCATTCAAAAGTTTCTGTCACTCTTCATAGGAAAGTAGTATATCATTGTTTATTGGAAAATATTTTTATATAAACAAATAGCATATATTTTGTCCCCGGAGACAATTTTCAATGACTAAACATACACTTTATTTAAATATAGGCATTCTTGTTAGCACTTTTGTTATTTTCTTTACTCTTAGACTATCTACATAGGTCCTCTTGTGTATTTCAAAGACATATATTTCACAATGGGAAGCCTAGCTTTAAATATGTTCCTAGCATAAAAATTTCACTTGGATATGCTGTATAAAATATAGGACAAAGTATTTTCAAAATGTTGTGTTTTAAAATAAGTTCAGAGCAGGAGTAAAAGATAAACTTCAACTTTTAAAAAATCAGGTGAAAAATTGTGATAATATTTCAGGTTAGTTTCAAAGAAAGTTTTATTGAATTCTCAATACTATGATGTACAGATAGCTTTTTAAGTGAAACCATGTGGAAGATTACAGTATGTATGACATGTTTTTGTATATAGTGAACTTTTAAGTTCAGGAGTACATGTGCAGTCTTGTTATATAGGTAAATTTGTGTCATGAGGATTCGTTATACAGATAGTTCATAAGCCAGGTATTAAACCTAGCACACATTAGTTATTTTTCCTGATCCTTTTCCTCCTCCCACCTTGCACCCTCTGATAAACACCAATGTGTGCTGTTCTCTATGTGCTCATGTGTTTTCATCATTGAGCTCCCACTTATAAGTGAGAACATGCAGTATTTGGTTTTTTGTTCCTGCATTAGTTTGCTAAGGCTAATGGCATCCAGATTTCCATCCATGTCTCTGCAAAGGACTTATATCATTTTTTATGGCTGCATAGTATTCCACAGTGTACAGGTACCACATTTTCTTTATCTAGTCTACCATTGATGGTCATTTAGGTTGATTCATTGTTTTTGCTATTGTGAATAGTGTTGAACATATATGTGCATGTGTTTCTTTTATTATTATTTTTATTTTTTGAGATGGAGTCTTGCTCTGTCACCCAGGCTGGAGTGCAGTGGCACGATCTTGATTCACTGCAACTCTGCCTCCCAGATTCAAGCAGTTCTGCTTCAGCCTTTCAAGTTGCTGGATTATAGGTTCGTGCCACCACGCCCAGCTAATTTTTGTATTTTTAGTAGAGGCAGGGTTTCATCATACTGGCCAGGCTGGTCTCGAACTCCTGATCTTATGATCTGTGTGCTCAGCCTCCCAAAGTGCTGGGATGACAGACTTGAGCTACCATGGCTGGCTGCAGGTGTCCTTATAATAGAATGATTTATATTCCTTTGGTTATATACCCAGTAATGGTATTGCTGGATTGAATGGTATTTCTGCCTCTAGGTCTTTGAGGAATCACCACATTGTCTTCCACAATGGTTGAACTAATTTACACTCCCACCAACAGTGTATAAGCATTCCTTTTTCTCCTCAACCCTCAACACCATGAGTTATTTTTTGACTTTTTAATAATGGTCACTCTAGTGTGAGATGGTATCTGATTGTGGTTTTGATTTGTATTTCTCTAATGATCAGTGATGTTGAACTTTTTTTCATATGTATGTTGGCCACATGTATGTCTTCTTTTGAAAATTGTCTGTTTGTGTCCTTTGCCCACTTATTAATGGGGTTGTTTGTTTTTTCTTGTAAATTTGTTTAAGTTCCCTAGAGATGGTAGATATTAGACTTTTGTCAGATGCATAGATTGCAAAAATTTTCTTCCATTAATAAGTTGTCTGCTCACTCTGTTGATAGTTTCTTTTGCTATGCTCTTTAGTTTAATTAGATCCCATTTGTCAATTTTTGCTGTGTTGCAGTTGCTTTTGATGTCTTCATTAAGAAATCTTTGCCCATGCCTATGTCCTGAATGGTATTGCCTCGGTTGTCTTCCAGGGTTTTTATAGTTTGGGTTTTACATTTAAGTCTTTAATCCATCTTGAGTTAATTTTTGTATATGGTGTAAGAAAGTCGGGGTGAAGGTGGATCCAGTTTCAATTTTCTGCATATGGCTAGCCAGTTCACTCAGCATCATTTATTAAGTAGGGAATACTTTCCTCATTGCTTGTTTTTGTCAGGTTTGCTGAAGATCAGATAGTTGTAGACACATGGCCTTATTTCTGAGTTCTTTATTCCGTTCCATTGATCTATGGTTATGACACATTTTTACTCTGAAAAGAATATGATTGCCACATAAAATGATAATTTTTATTAAACTTAAATATGTTTAAAAAATTTTTTTGCTTAGTGATTATAATCATTTTATATTTTACAAGGCCTCCTTTTTTTTCTTTATTACTTTAAGTTCTAAACAAATGACTCTATGGATAGAAGGATCTGGACTTTGATGCTGACTGAATTTTAAAGTAGCAATGATCTTTTTTTCTCCTTTGGAAAACTTTAATTTATATTTACAAAATGTTTATATGTGAAAAGGTTTTACTTAAGAAAAATTTAAATTTCAACCCAGTCACCTAAATTTAGGTTTTAAAGCAAATAAGTAAGTTTGAAAGGAGTGGAAAAAGAATGACAAGTATACTAATCAGGTTTACTCTGAGACCAGGAGAAGAGACATTTATTACTACAAATGTGATTTGATTCCTGTGCTGAAAATATAATGTCTCTGTGTATTAGCAATAAAGGTTGAATGCACTCTATTGTTACAAGTACAGTTTTATGTGTTGCGCAGACTATGCATTTCTCTTACTTAACCACAACAGCATCTTAGACATTTAATTTTTTGAACATTAATAGTTTTAAGTAACATAGTCATTTATTTTTTAAACTTATATCTATTTCTCACCAGGAATAGACTTGCTATCTCAATTGGCTGTGAGTCCTTTGACATGCTTGCCTATCTGGAAACTCTGAAGAAGGATTATTTCTGATTCTTTTTGCAGCAACAGCTCATTTTCTGGCTGAAAATCTGATTATTTTTACATGCAGTTTTATGTAATTCAGCCTGGTTCTTGAGAGCCATATGCCTAAATGCTTTCATTTTGTCTCTGAAGTAGGCAAAATAGAGGGGCATGAACTTTCAGGACTTCAGAATTCCAGTTTAGTCTTTGCCATAACAGGCTCACAATTCACTATTCACTACTCCAAAATAGTCAATATAATCCTTGTGTCTGCTTGGCATCCAGTGTAGATTCTGGTAAAGTATTCAGCTTCTTACTGTATTCAAAAGTAGTTTTGAGAGCTAAGTAGCCACAGTTTAGATATTTCACCAAAGGTGAATAACTTAGCAGCAATCCACTTATTTTAACCCAGCAATTTTGAAGCCTCTTCACCTAACAATTTCTTTTTCAAACCTAGAAATAAATCACCCCAATATTTAGCCTAAAGTCTTCCTAGCATGCAGAAATTGGCATAGTATTCTATCTGATGCAACTCTCTCATTGTTGAAATATGCAGGATCTTTAAATATATGTAAATATTGACCTAATCAGATGATAACCATCTCATCCTCATAATTTAGTTGCCCTGTTTTTGTTATACTACTACTGTAACTAAGTAATTTTTCTGCTGGGGCTAGAAAGGTTTTTAATCATATATAGAACCATTCATTATAATTGTACTTCTAAAAATAAGTAGAGCATTATCCATATAATCTCTTTATAATTCAGCTTTAGGATTTTGTAAGATTAAAACTTTCTTACATGCTCTACATTTTAGAGTGGATGTCCCTATTTCCAACTTTTTTCCAGAATTATATGTGTTGTTAAAAAATTGACTTGATTGTTTAGAGCAGTTTTAAGTTTACAGAAAATTGAGTGGAAAGTACAGAGTGTTCCCATATATCTCCTCCCCACAACCTCTAAACACACAGCCTCCCCACCATCAACATCCCATACTGTGAGATCCATTTGTTACAGTTGGTGAACCTACACTGACATGTCATTATCACCCAAAGTTCATAGTTTACATTAGGGTTTACTCTTGGTGTCTTGCAATCTGTGGGTTTGGAGAAATATATTAGTGACCTGTATTCACCATTGTAATATCATCATACAGAATATTTTCACTGCACTAAAAATCCTCTGTGTTCCAGCTGTTTGTTTCTACCTCCCTCTTATTTCTTGGCAGCTACTGATTTTTTATCTATCTTCATAGTTTTGGCTTTTTCAGAATGTCATATAGTTGTGACCTTTTCAGATTGGCTGCTTTCTCTTGGTAATATGCATTTAAGTTTCTTCGATGCTTTTGCATGGCTTGATATATCTTTTATTAGTGCTGAATACCCATTGTCTATATGTACCATGATTTTTTTAAATATTCACCTATGCAAGGACATCTTGGTTGCTTTTAAATTTTGGCAACTATGAATAAAGCTGCTGTAAACATATGTGTGCAAGTTTTTGTGTGGACAGAAGTTTTTACTTCTTTTGTTAAATACCAAGGAACATAACTGTGGATCATGTGGTGGAATAAATATTCCGTTTTTAAAGAAACTACCAACTGTCTTCTAAAATGACTGAACCATTTTACATTCCCACCAGCAATGAATGAGAGTTCCTGTTGCTCCACAACGTCATCAATATTTGGTGGTGTCAGTGTTTTGGGTTTTGACCACTCTAATAAATGTGGAGTGGCACCTTATTAATGTTTGAATTTACATTTCCAAGTGACATTTGATGTTGAACATCCTTCTGTATACTTATTTGCCACCTTTCTATCTTCTTTGGTGAGGTGTCTTTTGAGATATTTTTCTCATTTTTCAACTGGATTGTTCTTTTTTTTTTTTTTTTGCTGTGGAAGTTTTAAGAATTCTTTGTATATCTTAGATGTCATTATTTTATAGGTCTTTCTGCAAATATTTGCTCCCAATCTGTGGCTTGTCTTTTCCATTTTCTTGACAGAACCTTTGGCAGAGCAGACATTTTAAATTTTAGTGAAGTCCAGCTTATCA